GCCTCCGTGACCGCCTCCGCCGCTTCCGCCGCTGAACAAGCGCCTCCACAGACGTTTCCACGAGTCGACGGTTTTGCCGCTCCAGATCCACACGCCTGACGTGATGCCTACCGCGAGCGCCATAAAGTACTTGAGCATCAGGACGGAGTAGAGAGGTCTTGCCCTTGGCCGACACGGGCAAGCCAACGAATCGAGCCACTCGTTTCTTAACGACGTTTCGTACATGTGACAGGCCAACACTACTCCGGCTGGTAGCGTGTATAGAACGCTGAACACGCCGATTCGTATCATCAGTTTCTCCAGTTTGTCCGCTTTCGCTCCTGGTTGTCGCTTTATCACCGATCGAATTCTGAACAGGCTCACGAAACCCGCCAGAAGGAAGCTGGTCCCCAGTAGAAGATACACGAATAACGGTACCAGAATGAAGGATTTTATTCCATCCGGAGCTACCGTGCAGACTCCTGCTACTGGATCCCCTGCTACTCCCCCCGCTAGATACGCCGAGAAAGTTTGAACCGCTGGTGCCAGCCAAGCTGCTAGATGGAAGTACTGGGAGTACGAGGCTATAGCTTCGTTGCCCCATTTCAGTCCTGCCGCGAGGAACCACGTGAACGCGAGGATCACCCACCAGACCGAGGACGCCATGCCGAAGAAGTAGATCATCAGGAAGACGGCTACGCAAGCTTCCGGACCCTGTGCCCTCGACTTCAACGCTGGCCCGTCGCAGGCTATCTCCTCGTGGCCGAACACGCTTCTCGTTAGATAACCTATCGATACGAGGAAGTAGCAGGCTGACAGGAACACTATCGGTCTCTCAGGATACTTGAAGCGCTGGGTGTCGATCAGAAACGTGGTGACGGTCACGAGCGTGCTTGCGGCGCACAGGCCGCTCCACAGAGCCAGCCACACGGCCGCGAACCCTCGCTCTTCGGGGGTGAGAAACGCCCCGTGGCACGGGAGAGCGCAGTTCGGTACTCCGGCAATGTCCTGAATGATGCTCCGGCCGATGCTTATCGGTG